CACTGCTCGGTGGAGGTTGGCGGCAGATGCTCTAGCCTGTTGCAATCGTCTTGTTTCAGGAATGTTGCAATTGTGGCTGGTTGTAGCTGGTCCATGTTCCTGTGGAGCTTTCTGTTTGTGCTTTCTGAACACAAAGGTTAACCCAGCCACACTTCATTTACCTGCTTCCAAACACAGCTAGGGAAACTTGTCTTTCTAGTTACTGCCTCCCACGCTAGCTTCACCCAATCTCAAGCCTCTTTGCTTGACCGGTCCAAAACGGAAGTTGTGACACTGGAAAAGGTTCATTCTTTATCACTGAAGAATGTGCGCTCTGATAAAGCAGCCTCACCCCTTCTTATAAAATGTCTTACCAAAGTAAAGCAATCAAGAGCTAGGGTATCGGAGGAGCATCTCATCTCCCCTAGCTCTTTCCTCCTTAACTGCAGTTCTTGTCTTAGGGGAACCACAGTCGATGCTTTTACCAGTTTCTGCCCTAATTTCAATACTATCCATTGATTTTTAGCTATTACAGCTGAAGATTTAATTAACTTAGATCAGACCTCCCTAATAGAGGCACACCACTGCCTGGAGTCTCTCTAATGATCTTGTCTTACAAAAGCATTTACTGTTTTCTTTATTCCTTGTACCACTCAAACATTATCTCTTTCCCTCCCTGTCTTCTAAAATGAGGACACCAGAACCCAGATTTCTCTTTGTTTCTCCTCTCCTCCTTCCGCTCTCTATACTCTCTTCTGTTTTCACAGTATCTGGGTCAGTAACATTTTATTCCTTTCTATGATTACTGACAGGCTCTCTATGATTTGACATTAGAGCAAGTCTAAAAGTTAAAAAGCAGTAAACAGTATTTGCATAATTATGGATGTAAATACTAGACTGCTCAGGTGCATTCGGATTATACATGGCACAGCTGTCTGCATAATTATTGGTTATAAATACTGACCCAGGGAGGCATTCTAGGACTGCATGCAATCACAACCTTTTATGTGTTCAGCTCACTCATTTTTAAAGCTCTTCTCTGTTTCTAACGAAAAGATCAGTTCTACTTCCTACTGCCAGCATGCTTGGGATTTCCTGAGATTGTTATGTTGCTTTGAACTCTGTTTATGGCTAGAACTCTGCAGAATCGTTGATAGTGCAGTTTTGGTGTGCTGGCTGTGCTGAGGTCACTGGTTGCTCTAGCAGGTGTGAAAGGGTTAAGGTCTTATTTGACTAGCCTAGCAAATAAACAGGTAAAATACTGAACTCTGTTAATAAGGCTTTGCAGACAACCGTGCCTGTTTATGTCATAACAACAAGAAGAAAAGAAGGAATGAGAATGAATGAGCTCTTAATAAGATAAACAAAGTATGGGACATTATTTATTCTAAGAAGAGAAAACTTTTTTTCTTGAGGGGGGTTACGGGGTATTGAACTCTGGACCTTGTACTTGCAAGGCAGGCACTGGAACCACTGAGCTAAATCCCCAGCCTGAGAAAAACTTTTATAGCAGAACAGAAAGAGCTGGGCATGGTGGCACACACCTGTAATCCTAGCACTCAGGAGGCTGAGGCAGGAGGATTGCCACATGTTTGAGGCCATCCTCGGCTACATAGTGAGTTCAAGGCCAGCCTGAGCTGCATAGTGAGACCTTGTCTCAAAAAGCAAAACAAAATTTAAAAAAAAAACAGAAAGCGTAATAGCAAGAGAGTAATTCATATGGAGTTTTTTTTGAGACTAGGTTTCATCATGCTGCTAAACTAGACTCAAACTCCCTGCCTCAGTCTGGGATTAGAGGTCTGCATGACTGTGCTGGGTTTATACAGATTAGTATCTCTACTCTTCCCTGGGTCTATAATGGAGGACATACTTTGCATAAGTGGAATTATAATTAAAACATCATTGACTTTTATTATTTGCCCCAGACTGGAGACAGGATGCAATATTTACTCAAAATTATCTACTGTTAGATAGATTAGATGCTACAACAAGGCAGAGCATCTTAGAAACAACCTCCTCTGCTGGCAGCAGCAGCAGTGCCAGCAGCAGACCAGACCCTGTGCTCCTGGGGAAAGAGAGAAGCATCTCACTCTTGTGTCACCCCCAGCTGCACAGGGAAAGCCAGCAAACACTCTGAGAAGAGATGCTCTCTCTCCCCATACACCTGAGCTGTCAACTCAGGAACTTGTACAAAAGGTTGAATCTTTGGATCGTGTGCCCTGAGGTCGCCATCTAACATGATGAGTCTCGCCAGGGGTAGTAGTGGCCCACGTAAATAGTTCCAGCACTTTGGGAGGCTGAGGCCGGAGGATTGCAAGTTCCAGCACAGCCTGGGCAACTTAGTGACTTAATGAGATCCTGTCTCAAAATAAAAAATGAGCTGGGGTTGTAGCTCATTGGAAAGGCCCCAGGTTCAATCCCCAGTACCATAATAATGATGATGATCATGATCATGATGATTGATGATAACAATAATATGATGAGTATCATGAAAGGGTCACTGAGTTCCTAAATAAATGGAGTATGAATTCTTGAAATCCATTCATTCAGTGGATTACTAAAAATCTGACCATTAGCCAGACACGATGTGATGCATGCCTGAAATCTCAACACTCAGGAGGCTGAGGCAGGAAGATCGCTGTGAGTTCAAGGCCACGACATAGTGAGACCCTGTCTAAAAAAAACAAAAAAAAGGGCCGGGGATTTACCTTAGTGGTTCTGCTGCCTGCCTTGAAAGTGCAAGGTCCCCAGTTTGATCCCTGGTACCAAAAAAAAAAAAAAAAAAGATCATGCCAACTTCTCCCAGTAGATATTACTAGCAGCAAATAGCACAGGATCATGTTGGCCTCAAAGGCATTTGGAGCTGAAATTGTTCAAAGATTCATTGAATGGATTTCAAGAACGCATGCTCCATTATTATCACTTGGGGAAATAAGTGGCCATTTATTTCATCATTTTAGAGCATCACTTTAATTGTGCACCATAAGGAGTCCATCTTTGGGAGTGGCCAGCAAGGACAGAGGAGGAAGTAAACAAGACTTTGGAATAACTTGAAAGGAAATGAGAGAAAGAAATTGAGAAGGCCACACTTCAATCCTGGAGTTGTTAAAAAAAAAAAGTGACAAAGCTTTGCATCCTTGCAAAACTGCTTCCTTAACTATATGATCTTCACCTTTCTTAACAAGGTATGATCAGCATATACAATCAATAATTAAATTTTTAAAATTTTATTACAGTAAAAGACACATTGTCGTGAGTCCTTCTCAAAATACTCGCCATAATCCTTGTCACTTTCTGACTCAGTTCAGGAAGTCCTCCTTTGTGAATATCTTTACAATGTGTGAAAAAAATATGGTGAATGCTGCTATCGAGTGGCATGCAACTGAAAGACAGGCTTGTAAAAACGCTATAGTGTGTGCTCATCCATCTTCTTCATCAGATCTGGCACCATTCAACCTCTGGCTCTTCCCCAAAATTAAAATGAATATAAAAGGTAAATATTTTGACTTGATTTAGAACAACACAGCCAAGACAGCACAACTAAAGACCCACAAAAGAGGATTTTCCGAATTGCCTCAGGAAGAGGCAGGAACGGTGGGCTAAGTGTGTTCGAAGGAAAATGGAGGATTTGGAGGAGGATCAATTTACTATTGTAACATTCTCATTGTTACATTGCGCTACTGGTTGGGATCTTCACTTTCAGAACTTGGCTCAACAAGTAGCAGTTTTGGCTAACTCATTTCTGAAAGTTGGAGAGTTCTGTAGTCATTTTAACTTTACTTCCCTTGAAAATGACACTAGAGGGCAGTGTGATCACAGAGCGCTGGATGGAATACAGTTTGAGTTTACACTAAATCCAGACTGGAGTTTTCTAGGGAGTTTACTGGACTTCTGCTTCAGCCAGGTGTCTGGTTTTATCTATCTTGTTTTAGATGCTTCATATAAGAACATCTAGGTAAGAAAAGTCCTGCTGCTAAAAATAAGTTTAAAATCTGCTCTCTTCTCTCTATTTTAAAGTCATAAATCTGTCAGCTGGAGAGTTTGGGCTGTTGGGTTTGTGTGACTTTGGAGAACTGGGGAGTTGGGATAGATTTGTTCTTTAAGTCCACTGTTTCTAAATGTGTTTTCAATGACCTCAGTTCTACTCATATTGAAAATAAGGTTTCAGACCAAATAAGTTTGCAAACACTGAGTTAAAGTTATACAGGCTCCTTTACTGCAATATTCCTCAGAGCCCTGATTTATATGTTGGAATTGGCTGGGAGGAGGTCCTAAGTTTGATTTCCCATACCGGAAAAAAAAAAAAAGAAAGAAAGAAATGGCAAGTCTTGGTCCCAATACCTCCCCAGAAAGCCTTATGAATTAGTAGCCCTATGAATTAGTAACGGGGGCCAACAGTGTCAAAACAAGTCCTTCAGATAAAAATAAATCACAACTCAGCCCCTCACTCCCTGGTAGGGGTAGAAATTTTCTGTGCCCTGTTGCCTTCAACTAAAGCAAAAAATAAGCTGGGGGGGGGGGGCATCCTGTTGGAAACCAAAAAGTTCACAAACACAAGCATTTTATAGTTAGCATTTGTTTGGCAGTTTTTACTGTATACTGTGACTTGAGACACATACGAGATTTATTCATTCCAACAATAACCCTAGACCCAATTTCTTTGTAGTGCTATGAGTAACAAAAGAAGGTTCTAGAAGAGAGATGATGCTTTAGTTTGGATCTGGAATGTCTCCCAAAGGCCCGTGTGTTGAAGGCTTGGTACCCAGGCAGGGACACGTGGAAAATGGTGGAGCCTTTAAGAAGTAGGACCTAGTGAGAGGTGTTCCAGTCACTGAGAGAGTCTTCTTAAAGGGGATTATGGACGCCTAGGAGAGGGGATTGTGGAACCGCAGTGGAGGGAATTATGGGGCCCCAGTGAAGGGGATTATGGGACTCCAATGAAGGGAATTATGGGGCCCCAGTGAAGGGGATTATGGGACCTCAGTCTCTTGCTCCCCCTCATCCTTGCTTCTACTTCCTAGCCATGAAGTGAGCAGTTTTATTCTATAGTTCACTTCCACCATGAAGCACTGCCTCACCACAAGGACACAGCAATGGAGTCAATAAATCATGGACTGAAACTTCCAAAACTGAGCCAAAATGAATCTTTTCTCCTTGTAAGTTGATTTATCTCAAATATTTGGCATTTGTTATAGTAACAGAAAGTTGATAAATGCATGCTCATCATTTTCTTTCTTTCTTTCTTTCTTTCTTTCTTAGTGCTGAGATTAAACTCAAGGCCTTGCACATACTAAGCACACTCAGTACCTCTAAGCTGTATCTTCCACTCTGGTCATCTTTTCTTTAAAAGAAAACTTCTAGGATGATAATGCCCATTGTGAATAACAGGTTTTGCATTGAGAAGTAGAAGTGCAAACTCTGTACAGCTAACCTGTGCTTACGACTTATACAGAATGGTATTTTCAGCATGAGTCTTTGTTCCGGCCTGGCCACACTGCCGTTATGCTCTGCTCATGACCAGGGAGACTGGCTAAAAGCACATGAATAAGTTAGAGCAAGAGAATAGGCTTCCTTCTGTCCTTTCAGCTTCTTTCCTTCCCCAAATGCTACCTGAGCATTGAGGGTGGACATAGACTTTGTTGGGCCAAAGCATGGACCCGTCAATGAGGTCCTGAAACATCAACTTCCTCACAAGAGACACCTTCATTGCCATAATGGCACACTTACCCCCGAAACATGATAACTTTGATAAGGAATACAATGGCTACTATAAACATTGCTATCTCAGGAGGGAAAAATCACTACAAAATAAATTTACAAATATAGTAATGACTAGACTATAAAAAATTTAAATTTTCATTTGAAAATTACAATTTTCTTAAAAAATGGGTTAGATTCTCCCTTATCAGTTCTACATTCCATACAACATTCAGTTTTTAAAAACTTACATTACAATCTTTTATGAGAACGTCTAAGTTTTCTAAAAACCATATGGTATGTAGCCAATGTTTATTACCTCACTAAAGATATTTATGGGTAGCTACAAAAACAGACTGGAAAACTTCACTCTATATGTAAATAAAAAGTTATCTGTCCTATTTCTATTTGACAATAATGAAAGTACAGAAATACAGAAAACTAGGACAGAGCAGATTTAAATGAAAGCTTTTTTTTCACGCTGGGGATTGAACCCAGGGCCTCATGCGTGTTAAGCCAGTGCTCTCCCACTGATCTACACCCCCAACCCTCCTAAATTTTTAATGTAAAATTAACCACATGTTTTGTGCAAATGTTTAAAAATTCAAATTAAGTACAACAGAATTTGGTTAGCTTTCAAGGCTGAGAACAATTTCCTGTGGCCTGATATTCTTTCTTCTGGGCCTCTCCTCCAGCACTCTTTTGGCTGCTGGGAAAGTGGCCCTACCCTGGGGAGGTCCTGTCAACCAAAACCTCTGCACCCATCATCTTGAGGTTATTCTTCCTTAATTTTGTTCTGTCTCTTTCAGTCCAGACCAGTAATATTTCTGCTGGTTTAAAACTCTCAAAGACCTTGTCAGCCTCTCAGGCAATCACAGGGACCCAAGCCATCAGACAAGAGGGCCCTCTACACGTCTTTCCTGAACAACTGACTCTCTGTTCTTGGCTTCTGCTGAGGCTGTGTGTTACATCCAAGAGTCACACACCTCATTTACCCAGCAAAGAGTTGTCGAGCCTAATTCTTGGCTACTGCTGGAGCACACTATCTAGAACCTCCCAATCATCAAGAGCATATTCCTTTTTGTTCAGCAGTTCCTTTGTCAGTTTTTCTCTTTTCTTTCACACTTCACTATGATCAGCAAGCAGAAATCAGGCTTCCACATTTGATCTGCAAATTTGCCAAGTGAAATATGCAAGTTCATCATCACGTACGAGTTTCACTGTCCTCCCAAAGGTACAACATAATTCAGCCAAGTTCTACTTTACAATAAAAATCACCTTTCCTTCCCAATTACATTTTCATTTTCCTCCTTTTTACTGAGACTTCACCAAAGTACCTTTGATGTTCATAATTCCAGCAACATTCTGTTCATGATGATACGTGCATTCTCTAAACCAAGAGAAACTTTATAGCTATCTTCACTTCCTTCTGAGCCCTCACTGGCATTGCTTTTAATATCTATATTTCTTAAAGGTTACCTAGGCTTTTTCTCAATGCTTTAAAATGCTTCTCACCTCCACTCATTATACAATGCTAAAGCTACTTCTACATTTTTTTATGCAGCTATTATAGAAACACCCTACTTTCCAGTGTCAAAATTGATATCAAACAATTCACTGGTCCCTCTGATTCCTGGGAAGACAAAGAAACATCCCATTGAAATGAATCATCCTGATCTTAGTTCATGTCGTCTAAATAGCAAGTATGACTACTAAAAATGAACTGGGAGAATGTCGGCCTCATCATTATTAAAAATAAGGCCACATGCTCAGTGGGTATTAACCAACATTGCCAGTAAGAAAGGCCAGATGGGAAATGTTGGGTAGAATGCTGAATTAAGTAATCTGGATAAAAATACTTTTAATACTGAGTCATGATGAGCTAGAATGTAGAGATCATTTCCTTTCAACTCTTTTAAAAGTACGTACAATAAATATACATGAACTTAGTCTATCTAGAGAAGACTCTAAATCAATTAGTAAAATAAAAAGTATTGTGCAGACAGAATGTATTCTGAGCAGAGCCTAACTGAGCTGACCAAGTGTTACCTAAAGCGGGCAGCTATAAATATGCAATTTAAGGAAAGATAAGGATGATTTATAAGTTTTCTTATGTAAGTCTGTACTGATAGAATACTTTCAGACAATATAATTTCTTAATGAAAATTTCTTTTTGCAACCTTTAGTTAAACTATAAATGTAGCTTTTAATCTCTCCTTATTCTCATAACATAAACTGGTAATTGATTACACATTTTAGATAGATGATCAACAATCCCAATTAGCTGGGTCTGACATTATAAGCTTTTATTTTATCAGTAATTCACTGGAGCTTACAATTCCCAGGCTACTGAGCCTAGATCAGATTCTCAAGAAAGATAGTATTTGTTGTATTAGATGCTGACCCGAATCCTCTCCTATTGAACTCGTTTACTCCTCACAAATAGTAAAGTGAACAGTTTTTACCTTCTTTTAATCAATGGTCCTGGAAAGCATTAAAGAACAATGTCAGACAACGAGGATTAAATACACCTGGAAAGCAATCTGATGATCTACATCATAGTAAGAGCTGGAGTGCTCATGAGGAGCCCAGCCGCTGGGAGCAGGCACCAGTGGCACAACCCGCAGGCTCCACGACTTTTTGGCTGAAACAATGCTAGGATAGACCAACTTCCAGATCAAAAGTCCACTGTTTTTGGTGCATCCCACTTTCTATGCAAGGCTAGGAATTTGCATTTTACCATAATTAGGAGCAAATCACAGCATTTGCTTAGCAACATTTTAACTGATTTTCCAATGACCTTTGAAACAGCAGGTTAAAAATTAACTAAAAACTGCTATCTGCCTGAAATATTAAAAAGTATGCCAGTAGGATTACCTGGAGTTGAAACTTCAGTGATTAAATTTTTTTAGTTACAGATCCACCATTAGTTTTTAAAACAGAGAAATGCCTTGAAGTTAAAAAGAGAGACCTAAGGAAGGGCTGCTTGAAGCTTTCATGTCTAGTTTTCTGTTCCATTCAATTTCAGATAGACCACATAATCAAAGGATATTATACTTTTCTTTTTTGATACTGGGGATCGAACTCGAGACCTTGTGCTTGCAAGGCAGGCTGCGGCACCACTGAGCTAAATCCCCGGCCCAGGATAAACCTTTTATGTTTTCAAATTTCTTCCTACATAGTCATTAGTTTTTCATAGACCATAATGAAAGCTCTTCTATCAAAGGGGCTACATAGACAGAACACTGGCAGATAAAAATAACAAGACTCTCTTTTGACAATAAAAAAAAAGTACCAGCAGGGGGCAAACTTGGCGCCCAGGCTAACCAGAATAATAGAAATGCTGGAGAAAATTTGCCCTAGAAATTTTCCTCCATTTGATTAGTTGTAATGGATTCCCCAGTGTAGGCAAACCCACCAATCCACCCCTTTTAGTTGACATTCTACTTTCACAAACTGGTTGCCAACATTGGGGTGGGACCAGGAGTTACTGTATTTCCAACATTAAAAAAAAAAGGATCACAGACGAAATAACCGCCCAGAAATCTACTTCTATGTGTTGTGTTTTAATTTCATCCAAGATCCAATTGTGTTTCTGACAGGTGCCCCAAGTCGGACCCTCACCCAAGCCGACCCACTACCCACATCCACAGGAGCACAGAGATAACAAGAAGCCAGCAGCCTGTTTATCAGCCACCCCCAGGCCCATCATCCATGGGACTCTGAAATTTTCCACACTCTCCACCAACGCCCCCTCCCCTACCTAAACTTCTCCATATCAACCGTGCACACCCTCCTTTCAGTGCCAATGGCCTTCTCGCCTTTGACCCATCTGCACCCAGATGGCAATAAACTCATTGCATGTTGCTTAGACTTTGCCTGCCTCGGTGGTCTCAGTCATGCCTCAGTCTGACCTTACCGTTTCCATGTTACATAATTCTTCTCAAAATAGGTACTGAATTTAAAACAATAAAAGGACCTGGATGGATGATGGTTCAAATTAATTTAGGTTACTGGTATTATATATGTTCACTTGGGCTTAATACTGAAAAAAAATCAAAGATTCTATCTGTTCATAAATCTTTACCTCCCCCCCCGGGATGCTTTAGTCTCCATATTTAATTACTCATTAAAATGATCTTCCACTTCATCAATAATTACATGTTAATAAGCTCATGACCAGAGTATGGTATAGATGTTTGCTTAGAAAGTGGGTCTAGTGGGGCCAGGGATTTAGCTCAGTGGTTTCGCCGCCTGCTGCACAAGTGCAAGGACCCAAGTTCGATCCCTGGTACCAAAAACAAAAAAGAAAGTAGGTCTGTTCATGACTCTTTCTTGTCTAAAATCTACCAATCTTACCTTCCCACCTTCAGCCCAAGATCTCTGCCTCAGAAGAAATCTCATTTTTTTTTCTAACTCTAAAAGACTACAGTAGGATTTGACTGACTACCTTGGCCATATTTGAAAGTAGTTTTTCATTAATTACTCCGCCATCCCCTACTTAAGAATAGAAGAAGTAGAGGATAATAGATCAGCATGAAGGGGCGGCAAGGGAAAGCTACTGAAAGGCATATAAAAAATCCTCTGAAGATACCCCTCTTGTGTACAAATATGAAGGGTATTTGTAACTTTTACTCAGTCAGAGAATCTAGTCCTAAGTTGCCTTTAATTCAGTGGTTCTGAGTTTGTGGTCCCTAGACCCGTATATCAGCATGATCTGCAAATGTGTTAGAAAGGTGAGTTCTCAGACCCCACACTGCTCCTGTGGTCCATTTTTAAACAAACCTTCTGGGAAAATCTGATATATGGTAAAGTTTGAGAACCACTGTTTTAAGCCAGTGAGCAATAACAAGATCAAAGAACCGTATTGGTTTCTTTTATTTAGGAAAATAATTCAGTAACTTGAGTTTTCAGCCAATGGTAAAACTGTGAGATTTTTTTTCTGTGTTTCCTTCTCTGTCCTAGGCCCATCCATATTCCCCCACTCTTCTCCAAGGAAATTTTCCTCCCTAGACCAATCCCCCATTACCCCTCGCAATAAACACAAGTACATGCCCATCAATCCAGTGTGCCATTAGGTACAAACTGGCCTAGCTGGGAGATACTACTGGGCTGGATTTCACAGAACCAGAGCAGAAACTACACCTAAAAGCCAGGGAGAAAGAAAGACAAGTTCTTCCACACTTCGGTAACCAAAACTTCCCTGGGAATTCCAAGAGAAGGATCACAGATTAGGCCAAATTGAAGGACATTCTCGGGCTCTGTAAATCAGTAGGTTTATTTCCGTGGTCTTGAAAGTCAGAGAAAACAAAGATTGAAGAGAGTCTATGCCAGCCCCCATTACGTCATCTTCTCTCCACTATACATTTCCCTTATGGAAACTGAAATCATCATGTACTACAGATTGGATCAAGCAATTGGCTAACGCAGCCAAGGTCCCATGAGAAGTTGTGACTAAAAGTGATCTGAACAGAGAGCTAAAGAGTTTCTCATGGTTGGTCCATAGCCGCCCAATAAGGTAAATCTAAGAATGTGGAAAAACAAAAGATTGACCCAAACACATTTCTTTCTCTTGACATTCAGTTCAAAATAGTTATTTGTTATATATGTGCCTATCGCTTCTCAGCCTTTTGGCTAAGATCAAGTGTTACATGTTTGCCTGATCACCTCGATAAAATCTCAGTGGCACACTCCTTTGCATGCTGATGTGTATCATAGATAATGAAGATCAGGTTCAGTATTGAAACAGTCCCTTGTCCTTTTCATTCTGACTTTGAAGAAGAGTCAACTATTTTGTTAAAGGCTCATAGGCAACAGTATCTGAGCAGCTACACATTGTCCTGGAAATAACATCTGAAAAGATTAGCTTATGAGTCTGGCCTCTTTTCCACCCTCAATAGCATATACAGGTCAAATTATATTTTTTAAAAGTTAAAAAAATGTGTAACTCAACTAAAAGAAATAGCTCCCCTTTTTTTGACACTTGCAGGTATGAATCCACTCGTTATGAATTGATTGTTTTGTTTTGTGTTTTTCTTTTCCTCTGGTACCGGGGATCGAACTCGGGTCCTTGGCACTTGCGCAGCAGGCGGTGAAACCACTGAGCTAAATCCCTGGCCCTTCCACTTGTCATGGATAGCTAACATCCTTGCAATGTTTTTTTGAGACAAAGTCTCAATATGTAACCCAGGCTGGCCTTGAACTTGAGGCAGTCCTCCTGCCTTAGCCTCTCAAGTGCCGGGATGACAGACGTGTGCCACCGCACCTAGCCTCATCCTTGCAAGGTTTCACTTGAATTTTGGTTTTCCATTACTCTTTAATGTTTGCTCGAAACTCCAATTAAAGTATGAAACTGGACCCACTTGGTCAGAGGCCAAGCAATGAGTCCTGACACTGACACACATTGTCTCAACCATGGAGGTATCGGGCCCTCAGGTCATGTCACTTCCTGCTGTGTCTAGCCTCAAACTCTCCCTGTTTAATCTTCCAGCTCACAAAACACATTTTTCCATTTTGGGCATATTCTTTCTGTAAAATTTGTTTTTATTTTAAATATATTTCAGCAGTTCATATTGACTTTTTAAAATATTGGGTTTCAATGTGGTCTTGTCATACATGCACATAATGTATCTTGGACATACTCCTACCTGGCGCTGCTGCTCCCAGTGTTTGTCCTCACTGACTACGTCTGCTACAAGCCAGTCATCATCCTACAAGGCATCAGCTTCATCGTGACCTGGCTGCTGCTCCTGTTTGGCCAAGGAGTAGGAGCCATGCAGGCTGTCGAGTTCGTCTTTGGGATGGTCTCAGCCACCGAGGTGGCCTACTACGCCTACATATACAGCGTGGTCAGCCCTGAGCACTACCAGAGGGTGAGCAGCTACTGTCGGAGCGTCACGCTGGTGGCCTACACTGTGGCTTCGGTGCTGGCCCAACTCCTGGTATCCTTGGCAAACCTGTCATACTTTTACCTGCACGTCATGTCCTTGATCTCTGTCTCTGTGGCTTTCACTCTCTCACTTTTTCTATCTGTGTTGAAGAAGAGTACTTTTCATACGGAACCCATCAAAGAAGTTCCTCCAAGGAACTTGCAAGTTCCACCAGGAAAGCGTGCTGCCCTTGGGGAGGATCACAGAACAGCTCGGCAGAAATCATTCACCATTGCTGGGAATCTGGAGGACAGCCAGCAGGGCACCCCAAAGACTGAAATTGTGGCCTTAAAGAATGTATGCAGTGGTTCCAAAATGTGAAGGAGTGCTACTCCTCGAGGTGTCTCTTTTACTGTCCCTGGGGTGAACTTTTTCCACTGCAGGTTTTGGTTACATTTTGAACTATGTTCAAATCCTATGGGATTACAAAACACCATCCCAAAGTCCTTCCGTGTATAATGGAGCAGTGGAAGCCCTCGCAAACTTTGCAGGTAGGTAGGTCTACATAGCTTTATCTTGTCAGTGTGCAGAAAATGTGCTCTTCTGTGTGGCCAAGATACTCCATGGTAGAAAATTTAAGGCAGTTTGTGAGTAACTCTAAGCAGTGCAGGTCAATGCTATTAAGCCTTGGGAAAAGAAAACTGTAAGACCTGGTATCATGAGGCCTAAGGCAGGACTAGTATTCAAAATATATTTAAATGTAACATTTTCACTGTTTATAAAGAAGAGACCAGATGAATAAGTGGACAGGCACTAGATCAATTTTTTTATCCATTACTTGCCAATTACTCCTAAAATGCCAGAATAATACCTACTAGCATATTTCACAAGATTGCTTTTAAGATCAAAAGGGATCATATATCCAGAAGTATTTATATATAGTAGTATCTTGGGTAAAAAAGCAGACATTTTTAGTACTTGATTTTCTTAAACAGAATAAATTAACACAGCTTTCAAATCGTAATCTTGAATAACTCTGTTGTAGTGACTTCCACATTGAGGACCAAATAGTTTTAAAATAAGAGTTTTGTCATAAAATTTAAAAGCGGCAGCTATTGAAATAGAAGGTTCATGAAGACAAGCATGGAAGAGAATGTTTTCCCCACCCCTAAAAACAGGGGCTACAAATACAGTGTGCAAATACAGTAAGGCCATACACAGCTGGATGGCTGAAGGTTGCACTGTCTAAACTCCTCCCCTTCCCTGATATTTCATTTCCTCTCTGCCTTAAAGTGTAGTTTGCAGACCACTGATAAAAAGTGGACAAACTCTGAGCCACAGACCACCGTGACTAACAGTTCTACATTTTTATGTTGTAGGGGGGAAAAAAAACATGTAACAAGGGTTGTAAAAGAATAAACAAAAGCAAAGGTGGGTGTGTGGCCCATGAGTCTAAAATACTCCTCCCTGGCCTGGTACAGATTATAGATCTTGCATTCCACCTTGTGGGATGCCAAACAGACTTTTAAAACCAAAGACTAGGAGCGGATCAGCTAGGACAGGATGTGATATAGGGTAGGGCGAGGAGCACATCAGCTTTGGCCTGACAGAATTTCTACTCATACACATATACATGCACTGATCATTATACAGACTTTTCTTTCTCAGCCAATAGTCAGAGAAAATTGAAAGATAACTGCTCTTAGAGCTACTTTATTATTTCAGGGGTTCTCAGTCAAGATAACTTAGGTAATATATTTATATCTTTCCTTAACTCTCTGTATGGGGATTTGCCAAAAGTTGTTGTCTCGTAATTTAAGACTCTTCTCTATGCCCACCTTCCCCTATCCCCTTATATCCAGAAATTCCTGAGAACAATAGTTAACTCCAGACTCCTGTAACTCCTTCCCTGTCTCCTCTCCACAACCTCATTCCTGTACTATGTCCACATAATTTTCTGTCGGGCTTTTCATGGATATTATACTTTCATTAGCAAGAACTGGGGACACAG